CAACAGAGCGAGACTCTATCGTAAAATAAAATAAAATACTGTGTTGCTTTAGGAAAAACGTTCTTCTGTCTTTTCCAATTACATTATTTCTTCTGCCTCTCCTTTGCCTTGCCTAGGCAGAATTATTGTCTAGCCCACACATGCTGCTGTGCTTCTCTGCCTTCTAGGTCAAAACATAGGCTAACAGTACTTTTCTCAGCTCACTGAACTCTTTCCTGCCATCATTCAAATCACTGCCTTTCAATAAAGTAATTTCTGGCTGACCCAGAGGGAAGTGATAATTTTCCCTGTGACATGCCTTTTTATTTTCCATCATACCCAAGTGTCTTGTCCTTCTGTGCAAAATATACATGTATTTAATACGCTTACATATGTATTTGCCATTTATTTGTGAGGTGTAACCTATGAAGTTAAAAAAAGTCTTTATTTTTTAACACATCAGCATTTCAGCTTCAAAGTCAGTGTGGTCTCTTGAGAAGTTAAACACACTGCATTTGAAATTTTATATTTCTCATTTTTCATGTGTGTGTTTTTTTTAAAGTCCTTTTCAATTCCGTATGTATTTGAATATTCCAGGAAGCTAGTAGAGTAAAAAGCCAGAGTGCTAAAGTGTTCATAAGGAAATATGACTTATTGAAACTGACTTATACAATTCATCAGCTATCGTCATCCGTATGTTCTCATTATTTATGTGGCTTTTGCTTTATTTTATCAGATGCCTGACCTTATCATTGTGGAATTTTGCTTATAGTTGTTTAATATTATATAATAAAATACTCTTTTGTGTGAAACAAGTAAATTAATTGACTTTCTATTTTTTAAATTTTTAAAAAATTTATGTTAGATTCAGGAGTTACATGTGCAAGTTTGTTACATGGGTATGTGTTGTGATATGGAGGTTTTAGCTTCTAATGATCTCATTGCCCAGGCAGTGAACACAGTACACTATAGGTAGTTTTTCTAAACTGGAATTCCCAGGGTTTATTGTTCCCATCTTTGGGTCCATATGTACCCAATGTTTAGCTCCCATTTATAAGTAAGGACATGTGATATTTGGTTTTCCGTTTCTGTGTTAATTCATTTAGGATAACAGACTCCAGCTGCATCTGTATTGCTACAAATGATGTGAGTTCATTCTTTTTTATGGCTGCATAGTATTCCATGGTGTATATGTATCACATTTTCTTTATTCAATCCACCATTGATGGGCACCTGGGTTGATTCCATGTCTTTGCTATTGTGGACAGGAATGTGATGAACATATAAGTGCAGATATCTTTTTTGTACAACAATTCATAATAAAATACTATTAACAACAGCACAGAATTTAAATTGCTTTTCAGGCTAGAAGGGATAATTATGAATAGAGATAAATAATGACTCCTAAGCATAGTAACAGACCCAATCACAAAGCTCTCTTCCTCTCTTTCTGGCTAGAGTTAGATCTTATTCATTTTGTCTTAAAGCACTGTGATCATTTTCAGTGAAATCACAGAGTTCTTTTCATGAAAAGACAATGAATTGGTGTAAGTAATCATTTAAGGATGAAGGTGACTAGGCTGTGATCAACACCAGCACTTGGAGTACTTGTAAAACATGCATTGACTTTGGTTAAATTTCACAAAATAAAGCGTTAATACACATAAACACATTTTCTCTCAGCATTGAAAAATTCTAGTCTATAATTTACCTGCTTGCTAAGAATAAAAATATTACTTAGAGGTTTCTCAAGACCTTTTTCTAGACACACGAATTTAACGTACAGAATTATTCCATTTTCTATCTGTGCTCTGTATACTACCACCTAGTGGAATGAAATGCAAATTTACCTGTCAAAATCAGGAGAAGGAAATGAACCAGGTGAAATTTATTTCAGGAAAAAATTTTCATATAATTCTTTTATTATAATGTAGTTTGCATAAAATGCATGAGTTCAGAGTGAGAAAAGTCCCAGCCATTCTTGTGCTATTAAAATGCTATTAGCTTGTCCACAAATAAGCTGTTCTATTCAGAAACTTAGAAGCAGGCAAATTATTGAGACCAGGGCAGCATATTCTATCTCTAAATTATGTTGAGACGCTTCTCTTAATTCCTTATCACTAGGGAGGATTAGTCCGTTTTCACACTGCTAGAAAGAACTACCTGAGGCTAGGTAATTTATGAAGAAAAGAGGTTTAATTGACTCACGGTTCTGCAGGCTTAACAGGAAGCACGACAGGGAGGCCTCGGGAAACTTAGGTTCGAGGTAGAAGGTGAAGGGGAAGCAAGGTCCTTCACACCGCGGGGCGAGGGGGCGAGGGGGCGAGGGGGCGAGGGGGCGAGGGGGCGAGGGGGCGGAGGGCGACACAGGAGAGCGAGGGCGCGAGACGGGAGGCGCGAGAGGGCGCGAGAGGGCGCGAGAGGGCGCGAGAGGGCGCGAGAGGGCGCGAGAGGGCGCGAGAGGGCGCGAGAGGGCGCGAGAGGGCGCGAGAGGGCGCGAGAGGGCGCGAGAGGGCGCGGTCGCCCGCATAGGGGAAGTGCCGCGCACGTTGAAACCCTCAGATCTCGTGAGAACTCACTCACTGTCAGAGAACAACAAGGAGGCAATCTACCTCCATGATCCTGTCACCTCACACCGGCCCCTCCTCCAATTCGAGGTGAGATTTGGGCAGGAACACAAATCCAAACCGTATTATAGGATTCATTTAAAAAATTAAACATGCTGCTTCAAGGCTCCCATGAAATGAATGTACCATTTCTAACTGACAGGTTAAATTAAAAAGCAGAGATTAAATGGTTAAGTTTTTTCATAGCTCGGAAGAAAAGCAGGTGTGTATATTGTGCTTAGGTTTTTCCTTCCAAACAATGAAACCAAAAAAGGCAAATGAAGCTTTGGGGCTCTTTCTCCTTTATTGGTAGGGTGGTCCTCCTTTAATCTTCAGCCTCCATTAAACAACAAACGCAAGCTAATAATCGAAATCTGTTGTAGCTTGCAGACGGATTTCTCTAACCTAGTCTCACATCATCCATCATCGGAATGTTCTGTGGCCACCCAGGCCCTTTGGTCGTCCTGTTCGGATGGAATGCTAGTGAAATTAGTTTCCTGTTTCCGAAGGTGGCACAACTTTCAGATGGCATTGGTTGACACTTGCACAAACGTATTTTTTAATGCTCATGAATATTTTACCTGACTGATTTTGGTGATCTAAGTGTTCAGTAGTGGGTGAGGAACTGTGAGGCAATGGGTAGTAAGAGGAAGTTTAATTTAATTTAAGTTCAGATAAAAATATCCCAAAGTTCACTTTCACCCAGTTTGAAGAAACATTTCAAAGCCACAGAATCAGCTGAAATTGAGTCTCTTCTACGAATTCTCTTTTCTTTCCCTGACAGATCCCCATTCCTATCCAGGTAGACCGGGCTGTAGTGAAGATCGGACACAAGTGGTTTATATCCTCAAACTCTTAACCTAATTGTCCTGCCTTGTTTTTTTACTTCATGTGTTCTTGAACTGCTGAGGATAGCCCAGTGATCGTTTCTACCTCTATTCTATGTAGCCTTCAAAACGCTGGGTCTCTCAGTTTTCTTCCTTAATAAACAGTGAATCCTAATTACGTATAACTGCTCTAGTGCTGGAGGAATTGGCATGATTTTGCATCATGGGCTTCTGACTTTTCAGTGTTTGTGGGAAAGATGGCCTTCTGTCTTTGTTATTTACAAGGCATCCATTCCCTGATATTTTGATGATATTGTTAAAAGGAAAACTTCAGCTGAATTAAATTTAAAAGGGTTTAATTGAGGAAAGAACCATTCGCAACTCAGGAAGCCTTCCCAGCCAGAGTAGGCTCTGAGACTTCAGCGCAGCCTGGTGGTAGAAGAGGATTTACGGAAAGAGAAGTGAAAGTGACATACAGAAAACAGAAATGAGGTACAGAAACAGCTGGACTGGTTATAGCTCAGCATTTGCCTTATCTGAACACAGTTTGAATAGTTTGGCCACATTTAATTGGCCAAAACTCAGTGATTGGCACATGATTAGGCTACAGTCTGTTTATAATGTCTATTTAGTTTATAGTTCATGATGTACAGAGAAACGTTTAGGCCAAGCGTAAAATATGTAATGAGGCAGCTGTAGGCTAAACTTGATTTAACAGTACTTATCCCTGTATTGAAGCTATACTCTTGCTACCTGCTACTTGATGTGGGCAGGTGTGCTAATGGCACATTCCCCTGCACCTACCACCTGCTGAAGACCCTGCCATGTCCTGAAGCAGTCACTTAGGCTGTGAAACAGAAAGATGAGTTAAGAGAAGTAAATATTACATTTTACCCCCCAAAGACTAAAACCATGTCTGAGTTCTCCCCTTTCTCAATTCCCAATCAATGCAACCTTGAAAGGTGTGATATAGATAGCTGTTAGAAATATGTCTCTCCTCCAAAACCCTACTAACATACAAAAATGGACATATCTAGCTTTTCTGCTAAAATCGTAACTCAGACAGCAAAGCAAAATGAAATGTATGTACTCCATTCTCAGGATTTCCTTCTTAAAAAGCATTAGGCAGCTGGGCGCGGTGGCTCATGTCTGTAATCCCAGCACTTTGGGAGGGCGAGGCAGGCAGATCACAAGGTCAGGAGTTCAAGACCAGCCTGGCTAACATGGTGAAATCCCATCTCTACTAAAAATACAAAAATTAGTTCGGCATAGTGGCATGTGCCTGTAATTCCAGCTAGTTGGGAGGCTGAGGCAGGAGAATTGTTTGAACCTGGGAGGCAGAGGTTGCAGTCAGTCGAGATCGTGCCACTGGCACTCCAGCCTGAGCTACAGAGCAAGACTCCATCTGGAAAAAAAAAAAAAAAAACAAAAAACGAACATTAAGCTTTGTGTAACTAAACTTTAGAAGTATGACAATAGTTCCTATCATTTGATGGCTTCTTCTGGGAGACAGACATAAATCTATTTTAGACTTTAAGACTGGTGTCTGCATTGTAAGTTAGTTGTGTGTATTTCTGCTTTGTTGCAGCCGTCTCTTGGAGTCAAGAAACCTACCAAAGCCCTGCTCTTTGTAATCTTGAGCCCAGTGGGACCTTATTTTTCAAGTGGAATCTTTAATCCGGTGTCCCTGTGGGCCAATCCCAAGTATGTAAGAGCCTGGGAAGGTGGAACTGGGGACTGCAAGATGGGAGGGTAAGTAAATCTGTGTCTCTGTCTAAAGGAAAGATCCCTGCCTGACCATTTAGTTATTGCCACTTCGCTTCACTATGAACACATACAATAATTTTCAAACGTTAATACTCATTGTGTTTCATAGCTAATTTTTAGTGTTTTAAATGTGCTAGTTTAAAGGATAGCCCTCGGGCCTTCATAAGGGGGAAACATTGGATATGATACTTAGGCAAGAACTAAAGTAAGAAACTGAAACAACCATCGCATCAGTGCTTTGGATGGACTGCCCCTGGGCGCTGGTCTCTGGCTCCAGGTTGCCGGCTGGCATTAAAGAGCATCTGGTCCTGGGACCCAGACTCTCAGTTGGCTCCAGGGAGTGCTGTCTGGGGAAGGTGCCCACTTCACTAAAGTGCTGTCTTCATTGCCATAGATTGTGGCCACACCTGCTGCCAACTGGCTGAGGGACAGCCGTGCTCTGCCTCTGTCAGGCCAGTCTCATAGGCCATATGTAGCTGGCAGGTAATAAAAGAGAATTTGAAGAGTGTTGGACGATTTGGGGATGGACTTGGCTATGAGTTGGGAATGCCCCTATGGGTGAACAAAAATAGCTGGATTAAGCAGCATGGACTCTTGCTTTGCATATATCAAGTGGTGTTGTTTCCATACCCAGGGCAGCAGCTGTCCTAGGAGGTGACTCCATGGCAGTCTTGTGGGCCCTAGTAGGACATGTAGGTTCAGGAGGAGGGGGAGAGTCACATGACGTGTACTGGGGTATTAGAAGCAATGACCACTGGCTTTGATCCTTCTGTAGTCTTGCTGTATTTCCTTTTTCTTTTCTCTCAAATAAAAAATGGATAGTTATAAAAGTCATCCCCATTGGCAAATTCAGCAACTACATTCCCTCAATGGGTAGAGAAATCAAAATGGAGTGCATTAAAACTAGGAAGTCTATCCTTTTTCTGGCTTAGAGCATGCCTTTCTGTGTCCTAGGCTAGCCAGGTTAAAAACTCCTTTTGTTGACTCTTGATTTCTTTTTTTTTTACTGGTTCAGACTTTGCAGAGCATATGCCTACGCACCACTGCATACCATGTATATACTACTTTGTTAAAGCTTCTCTTAGGGTCCACATTAGAGTTAATAAACAATCTTGATAAGAAGTAATAAGGAAGAAGTTTCCCTTTTTAAAATATTGCTTTCTAGCTCCCCCTGCCTGTCAAGGAAAAAGATAACATGGGGCACAGAAATTGCAAGGTAATCTTTATTACCCGGTATTTGGGCAGGTTGTAATTTATTTTGTAAACGATGATTTAATGCACTATCATAGAATACATGATCACTGTAGGGAAGTTAAAAATTAATGCTTTCAGTACATCACAGAGTGAACCCTAATGTAAACTCTGGACTTGTGGTCCACACTAGTGCAAGATGATGATAATGGGAGAAACTGAGACGGGAAGTCAGGAAGGGTATAATAGGGAAATTCTGTTACTTTTTGCTCAGTTTCTCTGTGAATTTAAAAGTGCTCTAAAAAACAAAATCTATTCTAAAAACATTTTGATTGATTAGGCTCAGGTGAACTATGATAAATGGAAATTGACTGGAAATCTTTTAGGAAAGGAAGAGACCAGAGAAGAAAGTATTGAAACTCATAGATTAAAAATGGCAAGAAGAAAGGTGGTAACCAAAAGGATGGGCATTTAAGCTATATGCCTATCCCTTGCAAAAAGTTCTAGGGCTGTCTCATCCTATGCTTCTGACCTGGAGAAGTACAAGGGGAACAAAAGATTCTGCATTTAGTATTATCCTGTTGAGTTGGCAAAGATATCTGGAGTCAACTTTAGTTTTGTGTATTTTTACATCTATAAACCTAATTAAGTCAACAATTACCCTTGAGCATTTTTTATGACCCCCCCTGTAGTTAATTGGTATTATTAAATACCTATTGAGTCTCATAAGCTCAAGAACTTTCTGCTTCTATGTAAGTGCATCTGAGGAAAAGAGAGAAGAATTTTTTAAAAAAATACTGAGATTATGCCACTATTTTGAAGGTTTGAAGGTAGCATTATCCTTCTATTTCTAAATATACACAAGTGAGGAAAGTAATACAGTTGCATACAGCTAAAGGAGAGTCTCAGTGTAATGGGTCTCACCTTGGTTACAAATTGAGATCACCTGGGAGTGTTACCAAATACTGATGCCTGGTTCCTTCCTACAGAGATTCTGGTTTATTTGGTCTGGGGCAGAGACTGTGCATCAGGATTCTTTAGCATGGAGCCAAGCTTGAGAAGCACTGAGCTAGAGAAAGGTCTTGCACTGTAGAAACATCTTTAGTCCCAGGTGACTCATTAGTTAATTTGAAATGAATAAGTCCTTCTCCCTCTCTCTCTCTTGCACATGCACACACACACACACACACACACTACCTCTCTCTCTTAGTATTTTCTTTTTTCTTTGCATTCTGATTCTGCATTTAAGAATACAAGCTTTGAAGTCAGAAAGACCTGGCTTAAAACCCTAACTGTCATAATGGTGCGTAATGTCATTATAGCTTTGTCCAAACCCACAGAAAGTACACCAGGAATGAACACTGATGAAAACTCTGGACTTCAGGTGATAATGGTGTGTCAATGTGGTTCCTCAATTGCAACAAATGTAGCACCCTTGTGAGGCATTGATAATGGTGGAGACTATTCCTTTGAATGGGGAGAAGGGGATATGGGAAATCTTTGTACCTTCTTCTCAGTTTTGCTGGGAACCTAAAACTGCTCTGAAAAAACCTGAAGTCTTTAAAAACAAACCAACCGAATTGCCTTGGGCATGTTACTTAACTGCTCTATGTATCCGTTTCCTCATTTATAAAATTGAGGCAATAATACTTCACGCAGATTGAGATAATAGAAAGTGCCTAGGACAGTACTCGACATATAGAAAACTCTCAGCAAATGCAGTATGATAACCTAATGGTTAAAAGTTTGGTTTTAAGAGTCAGGTATCTGGGAGTTACACACTTAACTATCTGTGAGATCTTCTACAACTGAATCTTCTCTTTCTCCAAGTCTTCAAAAGAACAATAAAGTTTAGGGTTACTTTTAGATGAGTCAATGAAATAATGTGGTTAAGTACTTAGTACCCTGTCTGGCAGGTATGGGTTGCATATCTCTTTTCTGAAATGCTTGGGACCAGATGTGTTTTGGATTTTGAATTTTGGAATATTTCTCTTTAAGCTTCCCTAATCTGAAAATTCAAAATCCACATCGAGCATCATGTTGGCCCTCAAAAAGTTTCAGATTTTGGAGCATTTCAAAGTTTCGAATTAGGGATCCTCAACCTGTAGTAGCCTCTCACAGTTACCGATACTGTGAGGCTTTCTCACTTCCTCATTTCATTTCCTGGACTCTCTTTATCTTAGAAGCAATCAGTTAAATTTTAGGTAATAGAATTTACTCTTTTGGAGGGATGTTTTTAATATGTCAATTCTCCCAAATATCTATTCTATTTAAAACTATATTGAAATGTTTCTATGTCAACAGCTTTTTCACTTTTCCATTTTTCTGTTTCCTCCAAGAACATGTTTCTCTTATGAATACTGGCAGCACATGGGCGGGAACCCAACTATATTACCATGGTATCAGTTATCCTGTGGACATTAATAATATAGCTTATACCTGTGAGAGAACTTTGAGACAATTATAATTTTTCGAGGGAATAAAGACCATCTATAGAATATAACAATACATCAATCAATCAACTAAACACTAAACATAAAAAACCCTTTCCTTTTCAGTGCATTGAAATAGTCACTGTCTTTAATTATCTTTCCCTGCCTAGTGCTTCATGAAGCTGAAGAGCCATGGTTTTAATTCAGCTAGACTTTCAAAAGTGTGTATGCATTTGTATTTAGAAGCTTCTTTGAAAGGCTGAGTATTCATCCTGTAAGAATTCTCTGTGTTTTTTAATACAGTCTAAAGGGCATTTTGTATATGAAAAATGATTTATTTTCAGGTATGGTAGAACTTCACAGTTGTGTCTATGAATGAGAAAAATTTCAAGTAAAATAGTTTTTTTTTTTAATAGTTATTTTTTAGAGATGCAGTCTCTCTGTGATGCCCAGGCTGGTCTGGAACTTCTGGCCTCAAGCGATCCTCCTGCCTTGGTCTCCTGTCCCTGGGATTACAGGCATGAGCCATCACACCCCACCAAAATAGTTATTTTTTAAAAACTTAATTTCATTAGGATATAACAGTCTCATGTAACTCATTTTTTCTTTGTTTTTTATTATGATTTATTTTTTCTAAACAACCCAAAGTAGATATTTTTATTTGCCAGATGAATTAAACGAGCAAAAATAAGGACTAATTTGCTTCAGTTCACATATACCAAATAGCAGAAGTGCGAGAGCTGTGAACCCCAAGCCCATGGTCTTTCTATGGATGTCCCCTGCAATCTGGTTTATACTCATTATTGAAAAGCATTTATAATTTAACTCAGTTATCATCTATTTACTATCAATTATGAATAAAGATTATTTGACATTTTGTGGTCATTAAACAGAAGTTTCCTATTTGTATACCAGACTTGTTCCATCTCCACATTAACCAAGAATTTACATTTTGTAATCTGTATTTATTTAGAAGTGTATGCTTTAAGGTCCTTTTAATGACTTTTTTTGGGCGGGGCGGGTACAGGGGATGGAGTCTTGCTCTGTCTCCCAGACTGGAGTGCAGTGGCACGATCCCAGCTCACTGAAACCTCTGCCTCCCTGGTTCAAGTGGTTCTCCTGCCTCAGCCTCCCAAGTAGCTGGGATTACAGGCATGCTCCACCATACGTGGCTAATTTTTTATATTTTTGGTAGGGATGGGGTTTTACCATGTTGGCCAGGCTGGTCTTGAAATCCTGACTTCAAATGATCCTCCCACCTCGGCCTCCCAGAGTGCTGGGATTATAGCATCGCGCCCAACCCTTTCAATGGCTCTTAACATTACCTTGGTACACATCGACCTCGTCATGCTCCAACTGCAATCACCATAGTGTGTTATCTATTTTCCACAGCTTACTGGAGTATTTCAGCTATTAGTCAATGTTCTTTCAGTTGCAAGTCAGAAAACCAACTCAGAATGATCTTAAGCAGACAGGGATTGATTGGCTTATGAAACTAGGTTGCTAGCAGTGGACTTACTAGGGGCTCAAGCAATGATTTCCAAGTTTCTTGTGTCCTTTGCACATCCCCCTTTTTCTTCTTTTCTTCCTCCATCTCTGGCTCCATGTTGGCCTAGGGCTCTCCCACTTCAGATACTTTCGTCTATGAAGTGTGGTGATCACAGACACAGCAGACGCCCGGTTTACATCATACCTAGTAAACAACCCAAGAAGGGAGAAAATGCCTGTATTTCAAGTTATATACATTAAAATGAATAAATGCACCCAGAGAAGAAATCACGTGACTATCTTAGGTTATATGCCCACCCTTTAATTCAGCTGTGGTAGGGCAAGATGCTCTATTGTCATCAGCTGTGGTAGGGCAAGATGCTATATTGTCAATCTAAGCAGAATGACCTAGCTCCATGTAAAAACCCTGTTTTTATAACAGTATGGAATATAGTGGGAAGGGAAGCTGTACAGATGAAAACAGTAGATATACACTAACATGTGGCTCTAATGTTTAAATTTTTTTTTTTTTTTTTTTTTTTAGACAGAGTCTCATTCTGTCACCCAGGCTGGGGTGCAGTGCCACAGTCTCGGCTCACTGTAACTTTTACCTCTGGGGTTCAAATGATTCTCCTGCCTCAGCTTCCCTAGTAGCTGGGATTACAGGCACCTGCCATGATGCCCAGCTAATCCTTGTATTTTCAATAGAGACAGTATTTTACCATGTTGGTAGGGCTGGTCTCGAATACCTGACTTCAAGTGATCCACCCACCTCAGGCACCCAAAGTGCTGGGATTACAGACATGAGCCACCATCCTGGCCTCCTACTCCACTTTTATATAGACAACAGTACAAATTGTAATCTTACCCAGATGTAAAAGAGATAGTCCAAGAGACCTAAATAGGTATTTTGTGGTAGATTACGTTAATGTAATGTAGGAGTTTTGCATTATTACATTTGTAGTCGTTTTAGTTGTTTTTCATTGTTCGTTTCTGTGTATTTCTTGGGGATTTCACAGTACGATGGGGGGTCTAGGGTTTATTCCCAACCCTTGACTATTTTATGGCAGTACTTCTCAGACTTAGTGAGTTACACAGCCAGGGGTGTAGGGAGGCAAGTAGCCGTGACATTTATTTGAGGACTCTCATGTTTTGTCTAAAATATTCATCTGCATTTGATAATATACTCCATAATTTTCCTATGTAAGTTTAAATAAAAGATGATACATTAAAGGTGTTTTAAAAGTAAATCATCATTCTAGGGGAATATGCTGTGTTCCTTTCATTTTAAATAATCTGGGATGATTGGTGCAGGCTGAGAAAACAAGCTTTGAAATACGTTTTGGTTAGCATCGAGACTTTGAACATTTGTCCTATCTTTTAGGGGAATTTAGACATCAGGCATTATGTGTTCCTTGGGTACATTAAAAGGTCTTAAATAAGAGTATGCACACTCGCTGTTCTACTGAAACTTGACAGAATTTACTTCTCTAAACCTTGATTTCTCATCTAAACAATGGAATTAATGACAGTGTCTACCTCATAGTATTGGTATGACATTTAAAAGAAATAATTTATGTAAAATTGCTTGGTGTATGGAAGCATACTCAGTAACTTTTAACTGTTCTCATTAACTTTGCTCTTTACCTGTGTTCTTCTATCGTTACATTTCAAGTTAAAATTTCAAGGTTCCACCTTGTTTTCTCTCCAATGAATGCAGCTAAACCACTTAGATTCTCTAATGCGTTTTTCTTTAATGTTATGCAGTAGACCAGAGAGTGTAATGTATATTAAGAACATAATACCTTCGCTACCTCCACATGTGAATTAAGGACTTGAGGCTATCAGAGTGTAGAAGATAAGGGAATGCAGATGAAGTATGTTTATAACCTGTGTGTTTTCTCTTTCTTAAAGGAATTACGGCTCCTCTATTTTTGCCCAGTGTGAAGCAGTGGATAATGGGTGTCAGCAGGTCCTGTGGCTCTATGGAGAGGACAATCAGATCACTGAAGTGGGAACTATGAATCTTTTTCTTTACTGGATAAATGAAAATGGAGGTAATCCACTCAGATTTCACCCTGTACACTTCTCAGTCATGTTTAACAAGACCAGAAAGACAAGAGCTAGAAACTTAGTATAAGGGAGTAAATAGCACAGTTCCAGAGACTAAGAAAGAACTACTGTGCTTTTGCTGCCCAAGTAGACATGACTTTCAATTTTTTATTTTTTAATTTTTTTGAGATGGAGTCGCCTAGGGTGGAGTGCAGTGACATCACCTCGACTCACTGCAACCTCTGCCTCCCAAGTTTCTCCTGCCTCAGCCTCCTGCGTATCTGGGATTACAGCCTCCCACCACCACACCCAGCTAATTTTTTTTTTTTTTTTTTTTTTTAATAGAGACAGGGTTTCACCATGTTGCCCAAGCTGGTCTTGAACTCCTGACCTCAGGTAATCCACCCACCTTGGCCTCCCAAAGTGCTGGGATTACAGGTGTGGTCCACTGCACCCAGCTGAGTTTTGTTTTAAAGACACTCTACAGGTTTTTGTGTTTTTTTTTCATTTTTTAATTTTTGGCTCTATATGTACTGATTATTGAGATATTGAGATGTCACATTAAGGAATTTAAGTTACTATAATTAGAAGATTTGCTTCCTTATCCCTTCTGCAGTTCCCCTACCATTTTCCTGTCTGAACACCTTGCATTGGGAGATAGGTTTCAGATCAGGTCAATGGTCATTCACCACATACTGTGTATAAAATGCTGTGGTAATAAATGCAGTGTACTGATTCTGCTGGAAGGATTTTGTGTACTCTCTGGCTGTAATTCTTTTAACAATTGTTGCCCTTTCTACATATTTTGAAAATGTATCACAATCTCTCCAAATTTACTCTAGAACTCAATTTGATTAAAGAGCACCATTTTAAAAGACAAATCAATGTATCTTGGAATTGTATCTAGATTCTGTTTCATTGAAGACAATTTTATATATCCACTATAGAAATGTATATTTCTGTATTATCTTTTATATTCTGACTTATCATTACTTTCCTTTGCTGTTCTTTTTATTAGTTGGCAGAGACTATAGGGGTTCAGTGACGTGTTGGCAATGTATATGATATTAAATTAAATGACCAGTGGTGGGGGGAAAAACAGATAGGCATTTATTTCTGTTAGAATTTTGATAATCATACCAAACTTGGAAACATATTTTTAGACTTGTTTACATTCTTAGGTTGTTTATTTCACAGTAGTAATTATAGAGACTAGATATATAAATGATATTTCCAAATACTTATGAAGTTTCAATATTAGTTTCAATTAAATTTTTTTAAATGCAATTTATATTTGAAAGTAGCTACAGTAGCCTCTCTTGCTCTAGTATTATCTGGCTACAAAAAGAGGAAAATAGTAATTTAGATGTGGCTGAGTTCAGAGCTAGGTACTAATTTTAGTATTAGTTGCAGAGACGAACAAGATGAGTCTTATATTGCAGTCAGAGGTAGAGTAAACAGAAGGTGTGGTGAGTACATTTTGTCCTGGGCTTGGCCACTGGTAATCCTTGGCATATGAAAAACCAGATACAGATCATTCTCATTCTTCCATTCCTGCTGTTTATACTTGGCAGTATTTGAAAATAAAATTTATATTGGAATATTTATGATTTATAAATTTGAGATACTATATGTGACCCATAACAAAAGCTATGCTTGGAAGATTGTAGCCAGTGAGTGTTGACCTCTGCCCTTAGAAGATAATAGGCCGATTAAACTCTTCTTCCTATCTGCCCACTCTTACCCCGACTCCAAACTCCACCAAAAAACCCACATAATTTGAAACAAAAACAGTTACATCATTCAGAGGTGGTACCATCATTATTTTTATGGTTGGGAGATGTCAGAATTTAAGTACAGTCTGAATCAGAGATACATGATTTAACCAGAAACCATCCCGGTGGAAAATCGTCCTTTATCCAAACAACAATCATGAAACATTTCCACCGTGGCTTTTAAAGGTCAGAATAGAAATAAGTGAATTTGTCTTCTGCCTCTTGCAAAATATACAAAACCTTAAGAGTGTTACTATTCAGATTCTGGTTTCCTGAGATAACTTTAGTTTTAACATGCTCCTTCACTTTGGGGATGTTCATCTAACAGAACAAATAATATTCGGAATAAGGAGAAAGAAAGGAAATAGAATAAATATTTGAAGTAAATAGAATGCTAGGAAAAAGCTTTGGGCTGAAAAAAAGACATTGAAGCAATTCTGTAGTAGTTTTGGTTTTGGCTTTAGGAAAATACAATGAACAATGAATAAATCAGCAAAATACTGATTTTCACAAACTTTACTGATGGGAGGTATAAGCAGAGTTCTTTTGCTAATAGCCTGCCGTCTTTTCATGAGTGCCCACACACACTGCTGCTGTTGGTTGAGATGGCTGGTGCAGGAAGGTGGATGGGGTGGTGGATAGTGTGAGTTCAAAGCACAGTGCTGTGCACAGTTACTATGTGTGGCACTCAGCTTGTAACTCAAGGGAGTTTTGATTTCAGTAACAGCACCCATGGTGGTAAGATCACACACCATCGCTCTGTTGATGAGTAATTTAACCCATACACTTGCTATTCACTGTTTGAACAAAGCATTGTATCATATCCTGGACCCTGGAGATACCCTGAAAAATAAGACCCAGTCCTTGTGGTTGAGTTCACAGTCACTTTGGGATAACGACCACAGCAGTGAGTATTGGTTTTGCTCAGGCCACATCTTGAGTCTTCTCAGACACGTCAGGTGTTTATACTGACTCGACTTGGAGCATTCTTCCTCAGATGTCTACACCGCTTGCTCTTTTATATACTCCATATCATTGCTTACAAATCCCGTTATCCATCTGGCTTTCCTTGAGCCCTTAATCAAAATCGTCAACTCCCTGTCCTGTTACTCCCCAGCACTCTCCATTGCTTTTCCTTCCTTTTTTTCTCCCTCCATAGTCTAACGTACTGCCAACACAATAAATGTTTACCTGTGCCTATTAGAAAGCAAGCAAGGAGTTATGTCAGTTTTGTTCACTGCACTATTCATAGAGCTTAAAACAGTAAACAGCACTCAATATGTGTTTGTAGAATAAACGGCTAATTGTGCTGATGGTATTTAGGGCACTGACGCAGACCTACATTTCTGGTTTCCATTAGTGTTTGACTTTGGGAAGTCACAGATGAATCCTGCTGTTATTGCTTCTAGATTCCCCATCTCCTAAAAATGATTTCTTTGTCAAAAACAAGCTGCATTGGTAGGTTGTGCTTTCCTCATGTTGGGCAATCTGGAGTGAGTTCTGGCTCTTGTAAGTATGTTTGTGGTTGCAGAGGAAAATGAATATTTCTCACCCAAATGTTGTCATGTCATCATCTCTGTCTGGCAACCAGAGAAGCAGATGTTCTGTTCCTTGACCTCAGGCTAGTGGTTACAGATATGGGTGTTAAATATGTTTCACAAAACAGCACTTGCACATGCGGGGCTGCTGTTTTCATTTAACTTGATGTCGTCTCAGAGCTCAGCAAGCTTTAGGAAAGGTCCGGTTTGGGGGCACTGGAAGTGTGTGTGTGTGCGCACACAAATAGATCCATACATTTATGTGTCTAGTTAGCTAGCTATTGCAAAACACATGTTTATTTTGAGATCATCAACACTTCTAAACACGACAAAGAGTAGCCCTAAGAACATTGCCAAGAACAAATTTTCTCCTTTCCAGAAAGCAATTTTCAGCAGATGATTTTCAGAAACAAAACTCAAAAAAGCCATACTGCTGTATCTTAGCAAAGATAACTTATTCATTTATTTTTTTATTCAAAAGCATTTATTATATACACTCTGGGCCAGGCACAATGCCCAGTTCTGGGGATAGAAGGATGAAGATAGGGTTTGGTATTTCAGATAGAGCTTGATTGTTGAGCATGTCAGATGTAACCCCAGTGGAGCAGGTGAGCCTAGAGCCACTGTGTATTGAGAATGAGGGTGGTGGCTTCAGTGTCAAAACTCACTAGATTCAGACTCCTGGGTGTCAGAGGTGGGGAGGAGAAGGAGATGCTGCGTGCCACAGGGTACTGTAAGGAGAGTTGTGCAGCTGATAGGCCACACATGATGCCTGTGGACAGTTGTCCCACTAGACCTCACAGTAGTTAGGGATGTCTGCAGTCATCTCACAGTAGACCAGTAGCTCAGCCTTGGAGTTTCGTTTTTGAATGTCTTCTTTTTTAGCCGTATGCATGCTTGAGCTCACTCTGAGTCCATTACATTTGAATCTCAGAGGGGGAAGGCAGCATCTCCATATACTTAATTTCTGATGCTCCACCAGGTTTGAAAACCACTGAAGGCAGACTCTCAGGCTCGGCACAGTGGCTCATGCCTGTAATTCCAGCACTTTGGGAGGCCGAGGTGGGTGGATCATCTGAGGTCAGGAGTTTGAGAACAGCCTGGCCAACGTAGTGAAACCGTCTCTACTAGAAATACAAAAATTAGCTGGGCATGGTGGTGAGTGCCTGTAATCCCAGTTACTTGGGAGTCTGAGGCAGGAGAATTGCTTGAACCTGGAAGGCAGAGGTTGCTGTGAGCTGAGATAGTGCCACTGCGCTCCAGCCTGGGCAGCAAGAATAAAACTCCATCTCCAAAAAAAAGTAGACTCTCAAAGGGGAGCATGGAAGCAGTGACCAGCCTGAGTAGGCATGTACACTTCTTGGCAATAGCCTCCTCCATAGCATTCTTAGAAGGTTTGGTAATGACCAGTTTTTTTTAATAAGATCCTATCTACATTATTCTGATTACTAACTACCTTTCATCTGCTAAGGTAAAATTTCACTTCAGATTGTTCCTCATAAGACCATGCAATAACTCTTACTGTTTGTTGGTGGAAAACTGTCTCATTATTTTACTGGTTAAGGGTAAACTGAAGATGATTAGATAAGTAGCTTTCTTTCTTTCTTTCTTTCTTTCTTTTTTTTAAATAGGAGCCTACCTGAAATGTGATTTGGGAGATTTGGGAAATTTGACCACACAGAACAGTAACATTTTCTTTATGTTTGTTACTAGCAAAATTATGATGGTTTTAAAAAAATGGCTGTTGATAATAAAGCATGCGTAATATAGTGAAAGTTTGAAACTATCCCAATTTCTGATTGACAGAAGAAGAACTGGCAACTCCTCCGCTAGATGGCATCATTCTTCCAGGAGTGACAAGGCAGTGCATTCTGGACCTGGCACATCAGTGGGTGAGTGCCTTTGATATGAACAACTTTTATAAGCCTGAAACAAAAAACAATTAAAATAAGCCCAGCCTAGTGTTGAAATAATATCCTGTGGTTCCAACCAATGTTATCTAATCTTTCAATTGTAATGTGAATGAAAAGTATTCTTCTAGAAGGGCTTTCTTGGCAAGACTATTTAAATAAGTATTGTTGATAGGGAGGGCAGAGAGAAACCAGCTTAGCAAGATGTGGTAGTGGAGAAGTATTCTAGTAGAGGTCTCAATCTACCAGGTATCTCCTACCAACTTTTATCTGGTTCATACTTGGTGTGCTTCCATCCAGCCAGTCCTTCACTTCTCAAGTTCATGTTGCTTCCAAGTGGCAATGATACTTCTTCCTTTTCTTTATTTATACGAGTGTAACCATGCTTGTCAGAGAAATGAAATAATCTCACTGACATATAAATGTTTACTAACATTACATTATTGGTTTGGCTGCTGCCTTTTTCTCTCAGGCCTACCCCTATCCCTCCAAAATTCATATACATGACTGTTTTAAAATCAGAACATGCAAGCAAATGTAAGGTTGTTTTCAGTAGACTATAAATTGTGTGACCCAGGCAAGCATATGAAACTACTTGGTGGAGTAGGTGCAGTGGTTCACACCTGTAATTCCAGCAGTTTGGGAGGCCAAGGCAGGAGGATTATTTGAGCCCAGGAATTCGAAACCAGCCTGGGCAACATAATGAGACCCTGATTCTAAAAAAAAAAAATCAAAAAAATTAGCTGGACATGGTGGTGCATGCCTGTAGTCCCAGCTACTTTGGGGATAGGGGGGCGGCTGAGGTGGGAGGATGGCGTAAGATCAGAAGGTCAAGGTCACAGTAAGCTATGATCACACCACTGCACTACAGCCTGAATGACAGGGTGAGAACATATCTCTAAAAATAAATTAAATGAAATTTAAAAAACAATTTGATTTTAGAAATGACATAATGTATTCAAGACAAATTACTGAATGAATTGGGTGTCTGGTAAAGATTCTTGGATGGAACTATTGACTCAAGTGTTCAAATGGTCTCCAAAGAACATGAAAAGGCTTTGAGTTTACCGTGGTCGAAGAGTACTAGTACTAAGAGGACAAATGTTTAGAAACATACGCGTTATCTAGGAGCATACTAGCATGGTTTCTTTGGAAAAGACTTTGAAAATAGATGAAATGTGCTATAAATAATTCTACAAAACCTTGAAGTAGACAAGACCCAACTGCTACATGCTGGCTGACACATTGGGCATGACATTTACAAACTGTTGGTATAATTTCAAACAGCTTGCCCTGTCCTAAATATGTTTGCAATTGGAAAGATATTTTCGAAGCTCAGTAATTTTTGTTGTATTAAAGAAAAATATCAACCAAGTACAGAAGGTTTGATGACAAGTTGCAAGTGGAAATACTTTCCCACACTAATGATTTGCTAGCATGAAAAATAAGTTATTATGGAGGAAATTTTTTCTTGACTTCATAGCTGTAATTTGTTTTCAAAGCTATTTTAAAACATGAGACATGAAATGCCAAGAGGCATGCGGGGGGTCACCACTACTTGCCAGAAAGAGGGAAATTATCCAAAGATAAGTAAGAGTGAGCAGAGTAAAAACAATTCTGCTTATTTACAAAAGAGTTTTCTTTTCTTTTTCAGGACACAGAACTCAGCTTGTTTTCAATTAAGTTGGCTGATTTTCTGCAGTTTATTTACCTTTGAACAACATAATTGCAATTGCAGACTGAGGGAAGTTGAAACTTTCAAAAAGCCATATCTCTATTGCAGACATTTTTTCCTGCCCTTCCAAATCTACTTACAGCATGATGAGTTCTTTTAAATATTCAAATATTTTGAATATTTTCAAAATACTTTGAAAATTGCCAATATATTTGATTTCCATTTTTATCTCTTGTGGGTTTATAGATTTTAAAAAATACTCTTATCTTATTTTTTAAAACCCATCTTTTTTTTGTTGCCCTTTATTAAAATAATGTGTTGACAAACTTTGAACTTGAACCACTGAGATAAAAGAATGAGAATTAAACAGATTAAAGAATGACTATTAAACAGATAGCTTAGAAGGATCAGGATTTTCACCCCCATTTCCTATTTTTGAGCAAAGAATACATTCAAACACTTTGGCAGAAGTCAATGAGGTTATACCACTAATAACATGATGAAAATCAACTGAATATGATACTGAAAGAGGGGGAAGAGAATTGTCACTGTAAAGTCAACTGTCAATAATATTAGGAAAAAAACTACATACAATACAATTGCTCAAATAAAGTCCAAATATACATTCAATGTTTAAAAATAGTGAGTATTTTAGATATTTGAACTCAGTCTGTTCTTCATTCCATAAAAGACACAGGCAAGCCATGCACGGTTACTCACAACTGTAATCTCTGCACTTTGGGATGCTGAGGTGGGAGGATTCCATGAGCCCAAACTGGGCAATACAGGGAGACCCCCACATCTACCAAATAAAATATAAAAAATAAAACCTAGTTGGGCATGGCGGCACACATCTGTGGTCCCAGCTGCTCATGAGACTGAGACAGGAGGATCACTTGGACCTGGGAGGCCGAGGCTTCAGTGAGCCAAGATTATGCCACTGCATTCCAGCCTCAGTGACAGGGCAAGACCCTGTCTCAAAAAAAAAAAAAAAGACAAAGGTAGAAAGAGTACCAAATTTAGAGCCAATCAGATCAGACCTTGGTCCAAATTGAGTTTCTGTCATTTATTTCCTTTGTGGCTTTGGAGATGCCCCTTAACCTTCTTGAACCTTTGTTTCCTCATCTGTAAAATGGGGACGATAGTGCTTACCCTTAGAATTACAGAACTTGGCATAATAACAGGTACTTGATAAATGGTAGCTATAATTATTAATATTATATAATACATTGTTCTCCTTTATGGTAAAGTAGGGTTTAAGACACTGTGTTTTGGGGTTTTGTTTTTTTGAGACAAAGTCTTGCTCTGTCACCCAGGCTGGAGTTCAGTGGCGTAATCTCAGTTCACTGCAAACTCTGCCTCCTAGGTTCAAGCGATTCTCCTGCCTCAGCCTCTGGAGTGTCTGGGATTACAGGCACCTGCCACCATGCCTGGCTAATTTTTGTATTTTTAGTAGAGATGGGGTTTCACCACATTGGCCACGCTTGTCTCAAACTCCTGACCTCAAGTAATCCACCTGCCCCAGCCTCCCAAAACATTGGGATTACAGGCATGAGCCACCATGCCCAGCCTAAGACACTGTTAACATGTGGCACGCATCAAGCAACACTTGAGATGTATCAGTTTTGTGAGACTTTATACAAGTTAACAAATAAGGCAAAAAAGCAGGCGTATGTTGAAGTATACCATGTGTCTTAGGGTGACAATCTTCTATTTTATATTATGGTAATCTCATATGTAAATCTGTGACCTTGAAGTAGGTTGCTTAACACTTCAGTGTGTTCACCAGTAAGATGGTGTGCCCCTTCCAGCTTTCCCTTGAAGGATGATTATGACCTTGTTTAAATGCAATCAGAATGTTAAGCAAAACAATAAGTATTGCAATTGTTTGGCATGCCTTTTCCTTTAAAAATATGCTTGTTATTTTTTATATTCCATGCAGGGTGAGTTTAAGGTGTCAGAGAGATATCTCACCATGGATGCCTTGACAGCTGCCCTGGAGGGGAACAGAGTGAAGGAGATGTTTGGCTCTGGTACAGCCTGTGTGGTTTGCCCAGTTTCTGACATACTGTACAAAGGCGAGGTACGACAAGTATTTCCTCCCTACTTATCATTTTCAATTACATTAATTTAAGCATGTGGATAAAACTGTATTTGGACCCAGACCTAAGATGCAAAAGTTTTATCATTCTTGTTTTTCTTTGTTTTATTTTTTTCTTTTTATTATTAGTATTATTATACTTTAAATTCTGTTATACATGTGCAGAACGTACAGGTTTGTTACATAGGTATACATGTGCCATGGTGGTTTGCTGTATTCATCACCCCGTCATCTACATTAGGTATTTCTCCTAATGCTATCCCTTCCCTATCCCTCTCCTAGTCCCCCACCCCACTATAGCCCAGCAGGCCCCAGTGTGTGATATTCCCCTTCCTGTGTCCATGTGTTCTCACTGTTGAATAACCGCTTATGAGTGAGAACATTTGGTGCTTGGTTTTCTGTTCTTGTGTCAGTTTGCTGAGAATGGTGGTTTCCAGCTAGAGATGGAGTCTTGCTGTGTTGCCCAGAATGGAGTGCAATGGCTATTCACAGGTGTGATCATAGCTCACTGCAGCCTCAAACTCCTGGGGTCAAGCAATCCTTGTGCTTTAGCCTCCTGAGTTGCTGGGACTATAGGAGTGCACCATTGCACCCTGCTAGTTTTTTGTTTTTTTTGTTTTTTTTTTTTTTTTTAAATTTAGCATTTAAAAAAATTAACTGGGACAATGTATCCAGATGAAACTGAATTAGCATATTTCTACTATGTTTCCAGTGATTTCATGTAAGCTCAAACATGGCAGGAAATGAGTTTTGTCCTTGGACAGGTGTAAGATCTGTCTTACCTAAATGTGGGGATTGGAGCTATGCCACTAGCCTTCTATTCTTCTCTCTTCCTTCCTACCAGCACACTAAGGAAGGCTGTATAGGTAGTTACAATTTCAGTTTCTGGTTACCAAAAGTACTTCCAAACTATTGGATTAGGAATGGCAAATAATTATGGAAAATGCATTTGAGTGGTCAGTTCCTCGATTTATTACTATTAATGCTGTTATTGTTAATAATGAATAGACCATTGTACAAGAATTATTCATTGGCAAACCTGGTGCATTTACTGAAATCTTACAAAAGGAATTCAAGGATTTGGTAGAAATAAATGTTTTCCTCTTAGTAAATTAGTCTGATTTGATATGTGTCATACTTTTGTTTTCTTGTCAGTTGTTGTGCTTTTCTCTTTATAACAAAGCTCCAATACTTACGATTAACATTGGCATCTAACTTTATAACTTCAAGGCATGCAAGCATTACCTTTATAATGTGAACTGGCTTAAGTTACTCATGTTACAGTGGATCCTTGAACAACACAGGGGTTAGGGGTGTCAAACCCCATGCAGTTGAAAAATCCACATATTGATTTTTTTTTTTTTTTTTTTAGACAGAGTCTTTGTCACCCATGCCGGAGTTCAGGGCCTCAACCTTGGCTCACTGCAATCTCTGCCTCCCAAGCTCAAGCAATCCTCCCACCTCAGCCTCCCAAGCAGCTGGTGTGCACCACCATGCCCAGCTAATTTTAGTACTCTTTGTAGAGAGAGGGTTTCAAGATGTTGAGTTCCAGTGATCCACCTGCCTTGGCCTCCCAAAATGCTGGGATTACAGGCATGAGCCACCACACCTGGCCAGCATATTAACTTTTGACTCTCCAAAAACTTAACTACTAGTAGCCTACTGTTGACCAGAAGCCTTATCAATAACAAAAACAGCCGATTGACACATATTTTGTATGTTGTATGTGTTATGTATGTATTCTTACAATAAAGTAAGTTAAGAAAATCGTGGGGAAGAAAAAATGTATTTACTATTCATTAAGAGGAAGTGGATCATCATAAAAGTCTTCATCATCTTTGTCCATCTTGTTGTGTAGGCTGAGGAGGAGGAGGAGGGATTGGTCTTGCTGTTTCAAGAACGGTTGAGGCAGAAGAAAGTTCATGTCTAAGTGAACTTGTGTAGTCCAAACCCATGTTGTTCAGATGTCAACCATAAATGCAAATTCTACTGGTTTTCAAATTTTACTTTGTAGTTCTTTTCCCTCAGCTAATCGGAGTTTTCCACAACTCCTCTGACTTCAATGGTGGCTGCTTCATTTGTTGAAGAACTTGCTTTTAAGGGATTGCTCTTGACATAATTCCACCTACAGATTGACGGTTTCATGGGAGAAGAATTATTCTTTTTTATATGAGTACTTATATTGATAATAATGCTACTGTTTAGTATCTTACTATGATAGCATTGAGGTAATGTGATCAATCCATTAATGAAGTGTCATTAGGCCAGATTTTTAAAAAATTATTTCATTTCTAAAAATAAGAAATTTATAAAGTTTAGCATAATTTTAATGGTCCTGGTTTAGGGAGCGTTTACGGCCAAAAATATATCTAATGATTCTGTTATACTAAAGGGCATAATGTGAAAAGTGTTTGAGAGCACAGACTATCTCCTAAAATCAAACTATCAAAACCTGCAAGCCAGCAAGGCATGAGTAGACGTGACTCAGATACAAATTAGAAGCATGAAATCTTTTTCAGCCATGCATTTAATCATGCTGTCCAGTATTATGGAGGTAGTGGCCCCTGGAAGTTTAGCTTGGGCCAGAGGTAGGTATAGAAGCCCCTTTTATGAAGGCATAGACTTGCTTTAATTTATGCTCCCAGAATGACTTGCATTAAATTTTGGCAAAATATCTTTGAGTTTCCATTCCTGCCAAAGGGTTAACATATAGAAGACAGTCATTCATCCCTACAGATTCTCAGAATCTTGGAAGAGGTGGGGTTCTTTAAGTGTAGCTGCTATTTTCGGTACCTGTAGCTTCCCCTTGGTTCTTCAAATGATCCTGAAGGTTGGTATACAAACCATTTATGCCCTCAAATTAATTGGTAGGCAATGTACAACCTATCATTGGCTAGTTTTTATTCAAATTTATGATACAAAAGTCTTTGGCAAAAGGAGCTAGCATGCAGTCAGTAGGTTTTAGTGCTATTCCTTAACTTCAGTGGAATTGCCTTAGCACAGCAGAATCACTGAGTGCCTTATCTGTTATCATCATATACATGAATACCTTCAAATTATCTTGTTTCCCTTTATCTTGTAGACAATACACATTCCAACTATGGAGAACGGTCCTAAGCTGGCAAGCCGTATCTTGAGCAAATTAACTGATATCCAGGTAAAGGTTTTCTTCTCTATTCTTTTCTTTCACCTTATTTCTGTCAGAGCTTACAACTAAATTGTGTTTCAATGAAAAAGAGTAAATATTGTAAGTTGAGATCAATAAGTTAAATTTAAGGAAGATATTCCCAACACTGTGTGTGGGCATGAGCAAAACAGAAATGGGAAGGAAGATACATGTTTTTAAAAGAGAAAGAAAATATTGTTGAGGACTACATTACTTAACATTAAAAAAATATGTAAATTTTGATAACATCTAAAAATCTCATTAAGAAGTATAGCATACTTCTGTTTTAAAAAAAGGAAGAAAAAACTTGAAAGTAGAAGAAACTGAAGGAAGAAAATTACGGTGCATATGATTCCAACACTGAGATATAATCACTCTTAATTTTTGATGTCTTTTTTTTTTTTTTTTTTTTTTTTTGAGATGGCGTTTTATTCTTGTTGCCCAGGCTGGAGTGCAATGGCACGATCTTGGCTCACTGCAGCCTCTGCCTCTCGGGTTCAAGCAATACTCCTGCCTCAGTCTCACTAGTACCTGGGATTATAAGTATGGGCCACCACGTCCTGCTAATTTTTGTATTTTTAGTAGAGACATGGTTTCACCATGTTGGCCAGGCTGGTCTCAAACTCCTGACCTCAGGTGATCCACCCGCCTCAGCCTCCCAAAGTGCTGGTATTACAGGCATGAGCCACCACACCCAGCCAATTTTTGATGTCTTAAACGTCATTATTTTGTAAGCATTTTATTTATTTATTTATTTATTTATTTATGAGACAGAGTCTTACTCTGTCACCCAGGCTGGCGTACAGTGGTGTGATCTCAGCTCACTGCAACCTCTGACTCCCGGCTTCAAGCAATTCTCCTGCCTCAGCCTCCCGAGTAGCTGGGATTACAGGCCTCTTGCCACCGTTCCTGGCTAATATTTGTATTTTCAATAGAGATGGGGTTTTGCCATATTGGCCAGGCTGGTCTCGAACTCCTGACCTCAGTGGTGATCCACCCATCTTGGCTTCCCAAAGTGCTGGGATTACAGCTGTGAGCCACCATGCCCAGCCAGTATACTTTTAGATAGTTATTTTTTCCTAACAAAATGGGATCATATTGTACTTAATTTTGTTACATGTTTTTTCACTTAAGAAATGCTTTGCTTTTTTATGGCAATGGCTTTCTCCAATGGCATTTATAAAGTTTAATTGAATTCCATTATATTGATGTACCATAATTTTTTAAAGAAATTGTATTATTGAACATTTATGTTGTTGGCAATTATTTTTCACTATTATGAACAGTACATCCTTGATTATTTCCTAACGATAAATCTCTGGGATCAAATGGTATACACATCTATTTTTTTATGCTGCTAACTTGGTTTTGCCTATTTTTTTTTTTTTTTTTTTTTTTCTGAGCAACAACCTACAGTAATGTCTCAGCAGTTTAAGTAGGCGTACCAAATACCAGACAATGCTGGGCTACTCGGAAAAGAGATTGTTCTGTAATTTGCAAGCATTTCATAAGTTAGAGGATTTTGTGGAACCCAGTTACCATCCTTGTCAATTAGTAAAACTATCTAAGAGGGTCTGAGACATATTGAAAAGTAAAATAAAATTCGATCATTTGAGTGATGTCAGATAGTACTGAGTCATGAAACTAAGCAAAATTTAAAGTTGGTTAAGAATGCAACAGGCTTCAAGAGAACAATGGAAGTACTTGCGTAGTGATAAAAATGGCATTCCTGGCTGGGTGCAGTGGCTCACACCTGTCATCCCAACACTTTGGGAGGCTGAGGCAGGAGGATCGCTTGAGGCCAGGTGTTCAAGACCAGCCTAGGCAACATAGTGAGAACCTGCTTCTAAAAATATGTAAATAAATTAAAAATAAAAATTTAAAAGATAGTTAAAAAGACAGTTTTAAAAGATACTTAGCAACTTTTCTGCCAAATTTATAGTATTAAAAAGAAAGGATGATTGTGTTTTTGTTTCTGTTTTTTTTGGGGGAGGACAAAATCTTACTCTATCACCCAGGCAGGGTGCAGTGGCACAATCTCGGCTAACTGCAACACTTGCCTCCTGGGTTCAAGTGTTTCTCATGCCTCAGCCTCCCGTGTAGCTGGAATTACAGGTGTGCACCACCATGCCTGGCTAATTTTTGTATTTTCAGTAGAGTCAAGGTTTTGCCATGATGGCTAGGCTGGTCTCAAACTCCTGGCCTCCACTGATAAGCCCACCTTGGCCTCCCAAAGTGCTGAGATTACAGGCATAAGCTACTGCACCTGGCCTTGATTGTGGTTTTTGAATCAATGAGCTGCCAGCAACGGTTTTCTATGAGAATTTTCTCTAAACTAAGTAAAGAATTTCTTAATATTGGAAGAAATAAAATTTAGCCAGGGTTGTTTTCTCCCTTTGTATACAGCAACAATTGAAAGTAATTTGAAGAGTAGTTAATTAAAATTTCTGCATGGATGGCTTAGGCATTTTAATATTTTTAGGATTGAGTAAACCTGAAAATAATAAATTATTACAGTTTTGCTCAAATTAAGAACATAAGTAGAACAAAAATAAATAAATAAATAATTGGCTAGATTACATGAAAACCTTTTTCCAAAATAGGAGTTTAGAGGCCAGGGCAAATAGACAAGAAAAAGAAATAAAGGACATCCAAATTGAAAAAGAAGTTAAATTAGCCTTCTTAGCAGATGACTTTATCTTACATCTAGAAAAACCTGAAGACTCCCCAAAAAACTTGTAGAACTGATAACATGAATTCATTAAAGTTGCAGTATATAAAATCAATATACAAAAATCAGTAGAATTTATGTATGCTAACAGTGAACAATCTGAAAAAGAAATCAAGAAAGCAATCCCATTTATAATAGCTACAAAAAATATAAAATACCTAGGAATCAATCTAACCAAAGATATGAGAGCTCTATACAAGGAAAACTATGAAACTCTGATTTAAAAAAATAGACGAAAACACACAAAAATGGAAAGATATTCCATGTTCATGGATTGGATGAATTAATATTGTTAAGATGACAATACTACCCAAAGCAATTTACAGATTCAGTGCAATCTCTATTAAAATACTGATGACTTTCTTTACAGAAGTAGAAAAAAAAATTCTAAAATGTATATAGAATCACAAAAAAACCCCAAACAGCCAAAGCAGTCCTGAGCAAAAAGAACAAAGTTAGAATCATCACACTACCTTACTTCAAAATTTATTTTAAAACTATAATAACCAAAGCAGCATAGTACTGACATAAAAACACACATAGTAGACCAATGAGACAAAATAGAGAATCCAGATACCTAAGTCCACATGTTTACAACCAACTCATCTTTGAAAAAGGTACCAAAACTATAATAGGAAAGACAGTCTTTTCAATAAATGGTGTTGGGAAAATGGAATAATTATATGCAGAATAATGAAACTAGATTCCTTTCTCTCACCATACACAGAAATCAAATGAAAGTATATTAACGACTTGAATCTTAGACCTGAAACTATGAAATTACTTGAAGAAAACATTGAGGAAACGCTTCAAGACATTGATCTGAGCAAAGATCTCATTCTGTCACTCAGGATGAAGTGCAAAATTCTCTCCCACCTTGGCTTCTCATGTAGCTAGAACCACAGGTGCTTGCCACCACACCACTAATTTTTAAATTTCTTATAGAGGTGGAGTCTCACCATCTTGCCCAGGCTGGTCTCGAGCTCCTGAACTCAAGTGATCCTCCCATCTTAGCCTCCCAAAGTGCTGAGATTACTAGCATGAGCCATTGTCTCTGGCCAGCAAAGGTTTCTTATGTAAGACCTGAAAAACACAGGCTATCAAAGCAAAAATAGGCAGTTGGGATTATGTCAAGCTGAAAAGCTGCTCAGCAAAGGAAACAATCAACAAAGGAAATAGACTACCCAAAGAATGGGTGAAAATATTTGCTAACTCTATCTGACAAGGGATTGATAACCAGAATCTATAAGGAACTCAAACAACTGTATAGGAAAACTTGAATAATATGGTTTTAAAATGGTCATGAAACCTGAATAGACAATTCAGTAGGGAAAAAAATCTGATTAAAAATGGATAAAATAGCTGAATGGACATTTCCCCAAAGAAGACATAAAATGGCCAGCAGGTACATGAAAAAATGCTAACATCACTAATCATAAGAGAAATGCAAAGCAAAATTGCAATGTAAAATCCACCCGCCCTAGTTCAAATGCCTTGTATTTAAAAAAACAGGCAATAACAAATGCTGGGAAGATGTGGAGAAAAAGAACCATCATATATTGTTGGTTGACATATAAATAGTACAGCCACTAATGGAGAACAGTATGGAGGTTACTCAAAAAACCAAAAGTAGAACTAGAAATTCAATGTGATCCGGCAATTCCACCACTGGGTATATATCCAAAAGCAAAAAAATTCAATATATCAAAGAACATCTGCACTCCCATGTTTATTGCAATAGTATTACAATAGCCAAGATAGGGAATTGTGTGTGGCATACACACACGTGCGCACGTGCGCACGCACACACACAGTGGAGTACTATTTGACCATAAAAAGAATGAAATCCTGTCATTTGCAGCAACATACATGGAACTGGAGGCCATTTTGTTAAGTGAAATAAGCCAGGGACCGAAAGGCAAATATCATATATTCTCATGCAGGTGCTAAAAAAGTGGATCCCATGAATACAGAGAGTAGGTTAGAGGTTACCAGAGGCTGAGAAGGGGAGTGGGAAGGAGAGGATGAAGGAAAAGAACAAGAATATGAATGTATTTATTACCATTAAACTGAACACTTAAAAATGGTAAAGATAGTAAATTATATGTGTGTATTTTATCTTAATTAAAATTTTAAAAATTAGGAGTTTAGAAATGTTTAAGAGAAGTGTGCCCATAGTGATAAGAAAGAAAGACCATTTTAGAAAATTTTCTTGAACAAATTTTATAGTATTTTCTTAAACAAATTGTACATTCTAGAG